CAAACTTAGTCAACAAGACATTCATAAAATATAAATTATTTCCAACAAAATATTTATTAACCAACTTCATCATTTCATTAACCAATATTTTACACTTTATTAACCAATTTTATTTTATTATTAAAAATCATTGTTCATATATTGTTCGAGAACATTGTTCACATATATTATTCATTAGTATTGTTCACTATTTAATATTATTTTCTTAAAAAATATTGTTCATTGTATAAATATAGTGAAAAGTGGATACGGTGTAAATATTAATATAGAAAAGTGGTGTAGAAATAGCAAAGCTCAACAATAAATTATGCATATTTATAGAATTTCAACCTTTGAGAATCAAACATTCTCAAAAACTAATTATTTACCTCTAAACCAACTCTTTGGAGATAGATGAATTTTCTTTACTCCTACCACTTTACACTCAATTTGTCCGGATTACATTTGTAAATTCACGTTTTAATTGTATGATCAGGTAAATGATGTGTTTTGTTAAAAAAACAGAAGGTGAAGAGAAACTAAAAGTAAAAACGGTGTACTATAAAAGGAGGAGGTGAATAAGAAGTGTTTCGGCTAAGTTTGGAATGTGTTTATTTTGTTTCACAAAATATTTATATTTGTTGGATCTTGTTTGGTGTTATTTTCTGCATATTTTCTGCACCCTTGTTTTTACTACTGTTTTTTTCCTTCAAAATTGTAACATTTGCCCGAATGTACATATAAAAAATTTACTCCTACCGTTTTTACTTTAGTTTTCAAATATATTTTACATTTTTCTCCATTTATCTTTGATCTTATGTTATGTTAGTATTTCTCCTTTTATTTAAAATAAAGTTTGAATTCAATTTTGTTTTTAACTTATAGTTAAAATCAATTGAGTTTTTGAAAAACAAGTTAAAGTTGGTGCACAGACTAAACTTTAAAAATTGAAAGTTATTATTTGATTTCTTAAAATGGTTTCACATGGCAAGAAAAATTATTCATTAAGACACTAGCAATCTCTAATCATTTTATAAATGTATCTTAAATTTGTTGAAATCTGTTGGTCCTCTTGAATTAGTGGGATGTAAGATTGAATATCAAAATATCAACAAAAAAAATCGCCCGTCTCTCTTGAAATTTGTTGAAATGATACTAATGTCTCCTTTTAATTTTCAAATATGCACTAACATCCTTTAAACTTATATATACCAACGATAATTTTTTAAAAATAAAAATAAAAATCGTATTAATATCATATATACCTACAAATTTATTATAACACTAAAAATTATAGATATTAGTGTCATTTTAATAGAGTTCAGAAGAAGTTATTTGCATATTTTAAAATTCTAGAAAGTATCGATGTCATTTTAATAGATCTCAAATGAGATGAATGTAATTTCACTTATAAAATAAATGACATAAATCTTCATTTTTATTACAACCAATTAAGCAAAGTAAAAAAATCATTTAATAGCAAGTCCATAATAGCTAAATTATCTGAATGTGACAGACGACTGAAAATAATCTCTCAGGAAATAAAAATAGGAGATGTTTTAATGCACTCTTATGTCTTCTTAGATGTTTCTGGCGAAATTCTCATAATACTCCCTGAATTCGGATATGCATTTCCGAATCCACCACATTACATATTTATAGGAGTAAATTCATATATGCATGTCTGAATCAACCTTTTAGTATACATCATGGGAGTTTTGGATATGCATATCTGAATTAACTCCAAAATTTAATTATAGGAGTTGTTCGAATATGCATATCTGAATCGTATTAATATATACAAATTTGCAAAATAGAACATCTCTTTCCCATAACTCTCTAAATTCTAACTCTCTATTCAAACTCTTCCTTTTGAAATTTTGACAAAAACTTTCAACTCATTTGAAGACCAAAGCACACTTCCAAGAAGCAAAACGCATTTTCAAACCATTTCAACAACACTTCAAAACTCTGAATTTGAGTAAGTTTCTCTGAATCTATTGTTCTGCTTTGCATGGGAGCTCGTTGGCATCTTACATGATTGGAGAATCATATGGTGGCAGATGAGTGTCGAATGATACATACATCCAGCAGTTGGCATTGTGTAGAGGGATACGTGACATGATTCTACACAATGTCACGCCCTATTATGACACCAGATGCTCCTAGACGTCCACCTAAGCCAACTCACTAGGAGATCTTGGAGAACCAGCGGGCCTAGGATGACCATTCCACTGATGTCTTGTCGATTTGTCACCAGATACATTTGATTGGACATAAGGCTTTGGACTTAGAGATCATTGAGAGAGGCGGTTCTGAGGTGGTGTCCATCATAGAGAGGTTGGTTAGGGAGGCATCGAGTGCAATGGCTTACAGTAGGCAGAGGAGGGGCCAGGGGGTTAGGATTAGACATACACAATATACTATACCTTTTTTTTTATATTTACCGATGTAATCATTTTACATTCCGTACTTTCTAAACAATTTACGTATTAATTTTTGGTATTTCTGAACTTTTTTGTTCATATCATTTTTTGTTTTCGTTATTTCATCTTTTATATTATTTAAACGAATTATGTGTCAAACTGTTGTGTTTATTAGGTACCGACATTGATTTGTTATAAAAAAAACTATGCCATAAACACATTCAATCCAGGGTTTTGGAGGCGCATATTCGAAAAATATATTTGGTGATTTCGGATATGCATATCCAAAAATACCACTAAATGTTTAAATCCGTTTAAATAATTATAACGTGTAAACAAGGAGTTTTCGGATACGCATATATGAAAATATCACTGAATGTTTAAATCCAATGTTTAAATAATTATAACGTGTAAACAAGGGTTTTTTGGATATGCATATTTGAAACACCTTAAAAATTGATTTAAGGGTGTGTTCGGATATACATATTCGAAGGATATTTTGGGGTTTTTCAGAGGTTTTTTCATCCATATAAGGGTGTACTAAGAAATCTCTATAAATTTTTTTTAGCAAAATATCCATTTTGATCCCTTAACTATATCCCTAGTTCAGTTTGGTCCCTTATCTTTTTTCGTATCAAATTGGTTCTTTAACTTTTAATAGATGCATATCAGACCCTTCCGTCTACTCCGTTAGTCAAAGTTCGTTAAATATCTACGTGACAGCTCTTGTGACGGACTTAGCGTTGAAAAAATCGACATTAAAAATTATTTTTTGGAAATTAAATATTATTGTTTATCTTCTTCCCCAAATTTTTTCATAAACATAGTAAGGTATTGCATGGTATTTCTTTCAACTTTGTCTATGAAAAATACATGTGTTATTTAGTTATGAAGTTTTGTTTGTTAATTTAAGCTATTGGAAGTTAAATTGAAAAAAAACAGAAAGTATTCATTTTGGACATTACAATTTACAAACAACCATATTTGTGTCTTATATGACTTTGTGTGGCAGGGTTAATACTGAAGAGAAATAACGTCCAAGAAAATGGGCTCAAAAGATAACTGAATTTGAAGAAGAACCAAACAATGGTGAAGGATTTTTTCCCGAAAGCATTGTCCAACTGTCATGTCCCAAATTTGTCCTAACCTTAAAAAAAGATTATCTGGCTTATGCATTTCGTTCTCTTCGTATGCATTGTCCTTCCATTAGGTCATTTTGCACGTCATGTATCATTAATCAAAAAGTTTTGTATTGGATCAAGGTACATGGTGATTTAGGGTTTCACATGGTTGAGCATGGAGCAATGGAATTAGGATTTTTCCCTTTATACTCAATGTCATCGAATGAATCTGTAGGAATTTGGTTACATCAAGAGATCTTCTTTCTCAATACTTTGGCTGCTTTCTTCGGCACATGAGATGGCTTTTGTTACTTAAAATGCAAGTTATTCAGTAAGGTCGACCGAGAGGACATGATCTAAGTCATACACCATTCAAGAGAGTTTTTGTGTGAAGTTGTGATCATCCGAAATTTCCTATTCTAGACATTTTGGCTATTTAGATAATTCTTGCGAATTTGTTGGTTATTCGTTCGTTACACACAGTGCAATCTGAATCGTTCAAATGTGTTATTGATCTCTAGGGATTAAGGATTTTTGTGCTCGTTTATGGAACAAGGCATCTTATTAGATTTTGTACACGAATTGAGTGTGGAGCATAGTATATCATTGGATCATTCAAGTCTGAAAGACATTTAGCAAGACTTTTGACCAAAGCCTATCTTAAGCATAGATTTCGTATTTCATATTATGATTCATCCAAATTACAAAATTGAAGAAAGGTTGGAATATTCAAATAAAGCATATGGAGGAAAAATGGATTTCAAACTTTATTTGAAAAAGAAGGACCATTACATATCACCTCCAAGAGATCCATTCCAATTTATTTCAAGCTTCATCAAGATTTCATCAAGAATCACTAGTATACATTCAAATCCATTCAAAATACAAAGTTCAAATAACATTAAATATACACCATTTCAAAATCACCATTACATCCATATCATTTCAAGTACGCCAAGTACATCGCCTATTCTATTACATCATCATAATCACAAAGTTTTACAAAAAAAACGAAACGTTACAAATTGGTTTGAAAAGTTACATTACCTCAAGGTTCAATTATATAAAAAAATCATACACAAAACCTATGTCTTATCCTAAACCTAGTGGCCACCATTCTTCATACAACATTCTTCACCAATTCTCCTCATCTCTTCTCCAAAATTCTTTGCAAACTTCATGATCATGCCTTAAACTTCCAAGCTCCAAAACTGTGTGCCATTTCTCTAGACTAAGCTTCATGTATGCCTTTGTATTTCTTCAACCAAGTTCCACGAGTCTTTCCCAAATTCCACAATCCAATTAAATTCAACCATATTTTTGTTTAACATGAGCCATGAGCCCGACCTGCACCATTCATAGAGAGAGAAATCTATAAGCACCAACATGTCCAAAATAGTTGATTAAATCAATAATTGTAGCCCTACAAATATCCGTTAAGCTCAGAACAATATCCAACAAACAAATCCTTCACATGATGACTGACTTGCACTTCATGCCTCTGTGCTCGAATTCTCCACAAGGATGCCCACAAAACGACCACGACATGCACCATGCCAGCTTCCAACACGTTGTCGGCTGCCTAAACCAAACTCATTGCCACCATAGGCCCATCATTACATACCTGCATAAAAAATTGATGCTGCATCAAAATCCCCTACAAATTTACAGCCCCGCTGCAATATACGCCAGCATTACCAACCTGCACAAAGCTACTCATATCAGAAACATAAAACGTAAGAGAAAAACCTGCATACAAAACATAGTTCCTAATTTTTTCTACCAGTTCTTAACCAATTAACACTTCAACATATTATACACCAAAGCTGCTTCACATAACCAAAGTTCAGACTTGCTAATATGATGCCAAACATCATTGTTCATAAATAAGAGGAAGTATATCAGTTCAAAAAACAGTTCACTTCCCTTGACAAAATAGTTCAAACAAATTTCTAACCAACTAACGATTTCTGACAGACCTAACAGTTTTCTATCATCTAACTGAATTTCACAAGCCTATAACTAATTTCACACTAACTATCATAACCAATTCCATCTTAGCATAACATAAATTTAATCGATTCGAATCTGACCCTTCATCTAGTAACTAACTTCCCAGATCCTATGGTTGAGAATCATCAACCTCTAACCGTTTTTATCTTCCTCTAATTCCTATATAACCTCTTTTCCACCTTCATTCAATCACTCTCCTCCATTTTCTCAGTATCAGAATCTTCATTCATATCATTCCTCACACCTTCACGATTCAAACGCACAGGGAAAAACTCACCTTTAAATTATTCTCTGAAAAATTCCTCTACAATTCTCAAGAACGCACAATTCTTCAAGCATCTCCATCTTCAATATTCACGCGGCAATCTCTGCATACAACCGAATCAACAACTTTATCACCTCCTTCTTCGATCACTGCTGCAGAAGAATCATAACAAACTTTCTCTGAAAGCTCTTCAACCTTCTACTGCAGCATCACCAATCTTCGGCATCATCTTCGTGTTCTCTGCATAGCACCCTGCTCCAACCATTAACGAAAAGGCACGCAACAATAATCGTAACACAAATTGAAGGAGAAGAAGAAGAAAGAATAAGAATCAGAAGAGGAAAGAGGGGGAATCAAAGAAAAGTAAGACGAAGAGGAAGACGTTCACTTGAGTTCCTTGATTTTTCTCGTCATCGATTTCGCTGTTGTAAAGCCGCCGGAGCATCTCCGGCCGGTAAGACTCGATATTCCTCTGTTCTTCGCTCTTTACTTCCACTTGTTGATTTCATCATGACGGATAAACAAAGGAGTTTACGCGGAGGTGAGAAGAATCGCGACGGAGAGGGATTGAGATGGACGGAACCGCGACTGAAGCAAGACGGATGTTGAGACGGAGGTGTGAACGAAGAAGAAGAAAGAGCGAATTCCGGATGACGGATAAGGAAGTCGCTCAGCCACAGAAGAGGATGATCAGCGGTGACGGAATAGAGAAGGACTTCGTGGTTGAGACGACGGCGACGGACGGAAAGGTTTGGTTTGAATTAGGTGCCGCTGTGTTTTGGAGAAGAAGAGAGGAAGTAAAGCTCTGTTTCACGTGAAGCTGAAGAGACATAAAACTCAATCCTAGCCACTTGAATACGACTCCGTTTTGGCCATTTAGTCATTATTTTCTTCAAAAAAAAAATTTTGTTTCATTGTTAAATTTCTAGGAACTTGGATGTTAAATCATTAGGCTTCATTTGCCTCGGTCCATGAAATTCAAGCGTACACCACCCCCTGATCCAGTATACCTCAATGCTTCATTCTTTGTTTTAGAATTTTTGCATTTTATTCTTGATTTTTCTATTTCAAATTTTTACATGATTTTGATATATTTTTCTTGATGATAATATGACATGTTTCTAGTGCTGTTTGCTTAAAGTATTTTCATTAATATTTTGGTTCATAAAACGTGATGGAAATAGTTAACAAAATTTCCTTGGAAATTAGGTTTTTGCATGTCCTTGTTGATTCGACTTCCTTTACATTTGGAACGACTAATAAGCAGGTCATGATCCTTGAATAAAAGGTTGAGTGATTGTTTTTGGTTATGCTCATGAAAAAGCTAAAAATATACTTTATGTTTTATCGAATGTTCATGTGATTTACTATCTTTATGGTTGAATGTTGACGCAACTTTTGTGATGTGGAACACTTGGAGATTAATTAGTTTGATCACTTGTGCAAAGCAGCTTCTGTAGAGATTTCTCTTTGATGGCGTGGCTTTGAAGAGGAAACAGACCTTCTCTGTTAGGTATCATCGTTACTTTGTTTTATTCCTCATCTCTGCATTGTCTACCGCTTTCTGATGCCATGAGAAGTAGGACTGGAGATGCATGCTTTGTCACTTTTTTAGATATCATAAGAAGTAAGAAATAAATAGCGTGCACTTGAAGTCGATGTTTAAAGATTTGTAGCAGGCATTCCACATTTATTTTCTCCTTGTGATTGTGCTTGTGTGTTTCTATGTTTTTTTGATCGATGATGTCACTCAATTAGAATTGAGACAGCGACTTCGATCTTTGCATGCTCCCCTTAGGATTTTATCGTTTTCCTTTGTTGATGATCGATGATGTCACTCACTTAGAATTGAGATAACAAATTCGATCTTTGCATGCTCCCTTAGGGCTTTGTCGTTTTCCTTTGTTAATGATCGATGATGTCACTCAATTAAAATTGAGACAACGACTTTAATCTTTGCATGTTCCCTATAGGAAGTTATCCTCACCCCTAGGTTTTTGGCATGCTAACATAGGTAGACGTTTCCCTTAGAATTTTCTTTCTCTTTTATATATGCATTAAGACTAAAACCTTTTTTCTTTAAAACTTCAAAAACACTCTAATAATACAAAAACCTTTTTTCAAGGTAAAAAACATCAACCAATCCAAACTCTTTTCGCCTCTGGGCCTTTCGTTGAAACTCTCAAAGGATGTGTTAGTTCTACTTTAGGCGATACGACGCGTAAATCCACAAAGGTCGGGTTGCACCCATGTCTACTTGCCAAAAAGTTGCGTACCAAACATCATCTGCCTTCGGGCATTTTTCTTTCGAAGATACCTCTTCAGGTATGAGCATGTTAGTTCCTTTCTACTACAGACGCATGAGTCTCCCAGGGTCGAGCAACGGTAGAATGGGAAGCTTAGCATTGTTCCATTAAAAAACACAAAACAAACATAACATGAGAGCCGAACTACAACACTCTGATTCCTCGAAAGGGATACGTAGGCAACAGGTCGCGGGGCCTAACCGGGCAAAATTCGTAAATACTTCCTTCTTTTTCCCGCATTTCTTTTTCATGCATTCTTCCTCAGTAGTGAGTAGTATACATATATTAGACACACTCATAAGATAAATAACAAGATTGGATACCATAGAGTACTGCGGACATGCGGGGTGCTAATACCTTCCCCTCGCGTAACATACCCTCTTCCGATCTCTCGGTCGCAAGACTATGACTTCTTCCTTCTCAGGTTTTCTCGATGTTCACCTTTCCCTTCATGTGGGATAAAATACATTCAATGGCAACTTCATTGTTTGATGATTTTCATCTGGTTGTTTCAGCAATAGAACAAAGTTGTAAGCTTTCTTCCCAAAAACATTATTGAAAAGCTTGATGCCCGCAAGAAGTAATCAATGACCTATCTTTGTCTCTTATCTAATTACGCATGATTCCCAGTTTTGAACCTCATATTTTGAGCGAATTAGGTCCTCCTTCATGCTTACAGAGTGTACAACCTCAAGTAGAACAACGTCCACCATTGATTTTCAAGAAGAATTTTTGGAAGAATTTTGAATAGATTTTAGGTTTTGTTTGAGGAGTTGGATTTTGAACAAAAAATTTGTTTTGTTTATGAAATTTTTTGGGGAAGAAGATATGTTGGAAGTAATTCATATTCAGAATATGTTATTATTCAGAAGAAGTGGAGCTTCTGAGGTTGTTAGCTAGAAGCTGTAAGCTTCTGAGATTGCTTAGTTAGAAGCAGTAGTTTGATATAATCAGAAGTTATTATTAATCAGAAGTAGAAGCTTTTGGGGTTACGCTCAGAAGTATTCTTAGCTTCTGGGGTTTTGGGTTCTAAGTTTGTTAGTGTAGCTGTTAAGTTTAGAATTTCCTAGTTTGTACCTTTTAACTTAGTCGTTAAGTTTATCTTTTATTAGGGCCTACGTGGCAATTTACTTTGTGTATAAATAGACTAGTGGTAACTGTCATTTATAACCTTCCAATAATTCATTTGTAAGCTTTATAGTCGTCATTGTAGTAAATATATTCTCTCTTACCTTTCCTTCATTTATTAACCTTGTGCACCAATAATTGGTATCTATAGCTCCAGTTAGATGCACAAAGAAACACAAGTGGAACAGTAAGGCGTTTGTGTGATTGATTTTGGTTCAAGGTTCGTGTTGAATCGTTGAATAAAATCTGAACATAATCACATTTTTTTCTAATTTTGTGGGATTGGGAAACACTATGTTTGTGAGATATGAGTGTTTTGTACAAGGTTGAAGATGAACGGAAATGGTAGTCTAAGCACCAAGCTTCCAGTATTTAATGGCAAAAATTAGAATTGTTGGATGATTCATATGCGTGTGTTATTCGGTGCTCAAGATGTTATTGAGCTTGTTACCAAAGGTTATGTTCCAATTGCAGAAAACGCAACAGAGGAGCAGAGAAACACATAGAGAGACAAGAGGAAGAAAGATCAGAAGGCGTTGTTCTTCATCCATCAGTGTATGGATGAGAATGTGTTTGAGAAAATTGCAGATTCGACGATGTTAAAGGGCACGTGGAATATACTGGTCAAATGTTACGGTGGTGACGCATTAGTGAAGAAGGTGAAGCTTCAGTCTCAATGAAAGCAATATGAGAATCTCAACATGAAGAATAATGAGAAGGTTTCTAAGTACATCTCTAGAGTGATTCTGATCACTAATGAGATGAAGGCTTGTGGAGAAACCCTTTATGAACAAGTAATCATTGAGAATGTATTGAGGTCTCTTACTCCTCAATTTGGTTACAGTGTTGTAGCAATTGAATATTCTAAAGATCTAGACACCATGAGAATAACTGAAATGCAGTTGCGAGGCGCAAGAGTTGTGTCTGATTGAAAGAACTTCTGAGAGGGAAGTTGAGCAGGCTCTGAAAGCTTCTTTTGATAAGAAGGACCAGAAGCATAAAAAACATGGTAGTTCCCAGAAGTCAGAAGTCTTCTATTCTGATGAAAAGAAACATCATAAGGGAAAAGAGAAGTATGACAAGAGAATGGTTCAATGTTACGGTTGTAACAGATTTGGCCACTTTGATAAGGATTGTTGGTCAAACAAAGAAGAAGCAAAAATAGGCAGAGGAGATTCAGATGATGAACCGGTGCTATTAATGGCTTATGAATATGATGAGGAACCTATGAGATTGTCATTTTCTGATTCTGAATGGGTAAAAGATGACTCTGAATACTCTGACTCTGAAGGAGTGTTTGAATATGAGTCAAAATCAGAAGATAACGCTGAAGATGAGTCAGAATCTGAGGTTTATGAAGATGAGTCAGAGTTAGAAGATGACTCTGAAGTTGAAGACAAGTCAGAATCTGAAGGTGTTTCTGAGTTTGAAGAAGAATCAAAAGATGAGTTATAATTTGAAGAAGATTCTTCTTCTGAAGATGAGTCAGAACTTGATAGTTCTGAAGAAGAGTCTGAGTTAAATGATGATTCTAGAAACTTTGAAGATGAGTCAGATGGTGAATCTGATTCTGATCGATATTTTGATGATAATCTAGAATCTGGTGGTGGTCATGCTTCTGGAAGGGAAAACTTTGAAGATGTAGGTTCTGGAGGACAAGCTTCTGAAGATGATCATGTTTCTGGTGAAGGTCATAATTCTAAAGGTGGAACTTAAGAAAGTAGAGGTTCTGAAGGCGATCCAACTTCTGAAGGTGGTCAAGTATGTGATACTGTTCTAGAATTGGAAAGAGTTTCTGAACAAGTTTAGAGGCCACAAAGAATCGGACGAATACCAAAAAGGTTTGATGAGTTTGATATGTTTCAAGACGATGAAGTAGATTCAGAAGGAGAAATTGTTCTGTGTTCCATGTTAGTAGACTCTAAACTTGTGAGTGTTGAAGAATGTATGACTGAGTGTCATGAAAAAAGAACTTGAGGATATAGAAAGAAAAAAGACTTGGAAATTAACTGAGCTTCCGAAGGAGAAGAAAAACATCAGCGTCAGATGGGTTCTCAAGGAGAAATCTATACTTCTAAATGAAGTATTAAAATTTGCACACTGTATCAACCATAAGCAACTTGCAGATGTTCTGACGAAGGATGTCAAGACTGAACACTTTATCCGTTTGAGGGATGAAATTGGTGTTGAAGAGTTTTGGTTAGCTGAATATGAATTAAGGGATGGTGTTGAAAGTAATTCATAATCAGAAGATGTTATTATTCAGAAGCAGTAGACCTTCTGAGGTTGTTAGCCAGAAGTTGTAAGCTTCTGAGACTGCTTAGTTAAAATTAGTAGTTTGATATAATGAGAAGTTGTTATTAATCAGAAATAAAAGCTTCTGA